CTAATTCAAAAAAAATCTTAAAATGAATTACTTGTATTATTTATTGTATTAGCCTTAACGTCTACACATGTCATTATTATAATTCACACAACGACCCCCCCCCCCCCCACGTCTACATATGTCATTATGGAGTTTACACAAAACCCCCACGCTGAACGTGTCATTAGTATAATTTACACAAGACCCCACGTCTACACATGTCATTAATGGAGTTTTTGCAAGTCTGCGTCTAGACATGTCATTAGTGGAGTTTTCATAAGCCTCTACGTCTACACATGTCATTAGTAGAGTTTTTACAAGACCCCCACGTCTACACATATCATTAGTGGAGTTTTCACAAGACCCCCACGTCTACACATGTCATTAGTAGATTTTTTACAAGACCCCCACGTCCACACATGTCATTAGTAGAGTTTTCACAAGCCTCTACGTCTACACATGTCATTAGTGGAGTTTACAGAAGACCCCCACGTCTACACGTCATTAGTAAAGTTTTTACAAGCTCCGCGTCTACAACGTCATTAGTGGAGTTTAAACAATACCCCCACGTCTACACACGTCATTAGAAGAGTTTACACAAGACCACCACGCCTACATATCTCATTAGTGGAGTTCCCACATGCCTCCATGTCTTTGGACATTTTTCAAAGATTCTCAATCATTTCAATTCGAATTCCTGTCACTTAAACTATGAATTTCATTTTCAACCCTTTACACGTATGAAAAGTTCGGTTATATAACATTGCAATTTGTGAAACACCTGTTAAACATAGCTCAAAAAGAAATAAAACTATCCAAAGAAACAATCTATTCAACAGCAACATAATTGGACTTCGAACTCGCAAAATGTTCTTTGCGAGGCTATGTAGTGTATAGCGGTTAACGTATTAGGACTGTGAATCCAAGGATTCATTGTCCACGGCCCGTTGCCGCAAAACACACTCTACACTTTGAGGCTAGGTGGGCGTTATAACAGCGACGTTCCAGAACAGCCCAAGAGTTAGCGGTGGATACTGTTGACTAGCTGCCTTCCCTCTAGCTTCTCAGTTGAAAGTAAGAAACAGCTATGTTCTTTGCGTCCAAAGGTCCAAATGCAAAAATATTACGTAATATTACGTACTATATACAAAAATATTACGTAATATTACAAAAATAGTTACGTATTAAATATAAAAACATTACTTATCAAATATAAATATATTACGTATCAAATACAAATATATTACGTATCAAATACAAAAATATTACGTATTAAATATAAAAACATTACTTATCAAATATAAATATATTATGTATCAATATCAATACAGACATAGACGAGATTAATAGGTTGGAAATTCAAAAGTGAACAACAGAATTATTTCTGCAAAAATTAATCCTGTACGAAATTATACAATTGAACGAAACATAGACTTACATAGCCATAGCGCCCCCCAGTGGCACAGCGGTATGTCTGCGGACTTACAACGCTAGAAACCGGGTTTTGACACCCGTGGTGGGCAGAGCATAGATAGCCCATTGTGTAGCTTTGTGCTTAACTTCAAACAAACAAACAAATCCATGGCCATAGCAGAGATTACGTTTTTTCTAAAAATATTCATAAGGGAATTCGTTTGTAAGGTGGAGCTATGTGTCCTCCATTTTTAAACGCAACCTTTAAAAAAAAGAGAATTTCGGAACTGATAGTTATCCATCTATATGTATCTCTAATTTCACAGTTTTTGCATTCATTTACCGATATATATGTATTCCGAAATTAAATACATTAATCTATAAATACTTTATAAATCGCATTAGCATTTCAGAGTTAAACACTTTCAAATGATTACTTTATTCATTATTGTCCTACATTGAAGCACAATTACTTTTCTTTTAGAAAACAACAACAAAAGCTACCCAACTCATGCCTGGATCTCAGCACTTCGTAATCGTGTAATAGCCATAATCCTAAGTGAGCTAAACTTTTCGACTTTATAACTTTTAACGATTATAAAGATTTGATTTTAACGATATTTTGATATTACCAAATCGATATTCCTTCAAAGGTGTAGTAAAAAAACAAACTTAAATTAAACTCCGATGATCAAGTTTTATTTTTTTTAAATCAAACAAACGAGATAATAACATTTCAAACGTAAGGAAACTTATTTATTTCATCATTTAACTTTTTATTTGCTTTTTGTAAAGCCTGGCATTTATATATGATGCCTCAAGTTATTCATAAGTAGTGCAAGAAATATATATATATATACTAGCTGACTACTCGTCATATGACCGTAAATTCTGATTAATTTTCCTCTACAAATTAATTCTGAATAATTTTTCTTATGGACATGTTTTCTGAAAATTAATGATATTATAGTAACAATATATACAGCGAGGTCACAAGTAAACAGACACCACCTTTTCAGAAAAAATGAAATTTTTCAGTCATATTCACATGAATTGATAAATTTATAATTTAATTAATATCTAGTTGATC